GTGTGCAAGCCTCGGCTCAAAAGAGCAATTCACCGCGTCGCAGCAGCACGCCGCCCCTTTGCCAACGCAGGCGCGCGACCTCTGCCACCCGCACAGCCCCTCCTCCGCGCCGCCCCCGCCCCCGCCCACCTGGCGGCCAGCTGCTGCAGCGCCGCCAGCGCCTCGCCCTCGGTCTCCGGCGTGATGCTGGCGTCGACCACAAAGTCAAACAGCTCGCGCGTGGACAGCACCGCGACGCCGGCGCGGCGGAAGAAGTCGTTGACGTGGCGGGCGTCCTCCCTCAGAAAATCCAGGGCTTTGGGGTGGTCCAGGTCGACTGACTGGGACACGTCGATGATGACGAGCTCGCCCTGGGGTGACGTCATGGCAGGGGGTTTTGTGTTGTGGGCGCGTGTGTTGGTTGGGTGGCGGGCTGGGAAGTGCGTGCGAGGCGCGGGCGGGCGGGAGCGGGGGGGGGGGGATCGCGAGGCGTGAAGGGGATCCCTGGTGCGTGGTCCAAAGTGCGCACACCCACAAAACACCACGAGACGAGGCGAACACTCTCGGGACACAAGCACCCAACCACATCCATATCACAAACGCTCACACACACACGCACACACAAACACACACACTCACGCACACACTCACGCACACGCACACGCACACGCACACACACACACACACCCAAGCACCCGCCCCCCCACCTTGTGCACCAGGATGTTGTACTCGCTGAGGTCAGCGTGCACCAGGCGGCAGCGCTGGTACAGGGTGCGCAGGATGCTGACCAGCTCGCCATACGCGGAGCACAGCCGCTGCAGGGGCAGGTTGGCGTCCTGCAAGGTGCGTGCGTGTGTGTGTGTGTGTGTGTGTGTGTGCGTGCACGCGTGTGGGTGTTTGCGAATGTGTGAGTCTGTCTATCATGTTGCAGGGTGGAACGCAACAGCGAAAGGACAGGCAGGGGAGAAGGACGCGGAGAAAATGGGGGCATGTTTTGAGCAGTAGGGATGTTGCATTACACGAGCTGGAGAGTGCGGACCGGGAAGAACACTTGACGGACTGTTTGAACGCCGGCTGCCACTGGCGCATGTGTATTGCTTGTGGGCGGGGCCTGCTCAGGAGCCAGCAGCCGTCCAGCTGCCGGGAAGCTGCCTGTGCCTGGCGCCGGCTGCAGACCAGCACCGTCTGGGAGGCTACACAGCCCTCAGCCCTCCACCCCCTCAAACACAGCGCACCTTGAGCCTGGGCGCGGCGACGCCGTCGTCCCCCACAAACTCCATCACCAGCACGTGCATGCGCAGCAGCAGCGGCGCAGGCGCGCGGATGCCTGCTGCCCGCAGCCGCGCCAGGTTGCGCATCTCCTTCTCAGCCCACACCTTGAGTGGTTTCAGGAGGGTGAGATGGCATAAAACAGTGAGATACTTGAGGTAGGTGAGGGGGAGAGGCTGTAGAATGAGGAGGGGTTTCCTCCCCTTTGCTCTCGCGCCCCCCTCAACAAACCTTCCCCCTGTCCAGCCGCTCCCCTCATCACCTTGACCATCTTCCGGGGATTTGACCGGCAGTAGCCCGCCCTGAAGCGGTAGTCACCAGTGACGTAGCGGTCGCGGTCCTTGAAGACCAAGATGCTGGTCTTGTAGATCTGGAAGGCGGAGAGGCGGGAGGGTGTCCCATGCTTCAAGACAGCTGTGACGGTCACCGTGGGGTCGCTCATCGCACTGCGCTGCATAATGGCCGAAGCCACCCCAAAACACTCCATCATGCCCTGAACGCCGCCCTGTCGTTGCATGCGCACGACTGCCACGGGCGCTCCGTTGAAGCGCAACGTGTCTGTGTGCCCAGGGCACCCGTGCGGGGCGCCGAGACGAAGGCTGGGGGCCCGCCGCCGGCCTTTGATTTTCAGCAGGCGGCGCGCACCTTGATGGCCAGATCTGGGTAGGGCGCGGGGCCGCCCGTGGCCTGGTAGACATTAGCCTCCTTGCCGGTGGATATGCAGCCGTGGATCTCCCTGAAAACCCCGCGGTTGAGCATCTTGAACAGCACCATGCGCGTCCGCGGGTCGATCGCCTGCTCGACGGTCGCGCGGTCCGACTTGTCCCCCGCGCGCACGCGCGCGGCGGCCGCCTTGTTCGCGGCGCCGCGGACCGCGTTCGAAACGCTGGCCGACAGCTGGAGGCCGCCGAGGCCGTCCAATGGGTCGTCGCGGACGCAGAAGCGGCTCTCCAGCTTCTGGAGGTTCCCGCCGCCCGCGCGCGGCTGCAGCTGGGCGCCGCCGGTGGCGGCGCCGGCGGCGGACGCGCGTGCGGCGCCGCCGTTGGCGTTGGGGCCGCGGGGGGCGCCGCTGTGGAACGCGGCCTGGGCGGCGTGGCCCCGAAGCATGTGGCCTAAGGGAGGCAGGCGGGCGGTGCCGGTCACGCGTATGGCTTTGGTGACAACTGTTGTAAGTGCATCTGCATGGCACATGCGCCACAAACGCTTCCGAGGTCGTTGCGTCGTCTCGGGATAGACGGCTGCTGCGACCCTGGGGCATGCTTGCATGCGAACAATCGCACGGATTCCTAGCAGTGCCGTCGCAGCTGCTGTCTTGGACAGCACCCTCATGCGCATGCACCCATCTCCCACGTCCCACGTCCCCCGCACCTTCACGCGACTCCGCCCAATCCAATGCGGCGCCAACGTCGCCGTCGTCGTCGCTCCAGCCGTCCTCCTCGTCAAAGTCGTCGTCGTCGCCATACCCATCATCTTCCAGCACCTCCTCGGCATCAGCGGCTGCACCAGCGGCGTCCGCGGGGCCGTCTGCATCGGCAGCGGCCGCCGGGTTGGCGGCGGTGACGCTCGTCGCCGCCCCCGCACCCGCCGCGCCTTCGGACGCTAGAGCCTGCGCGTGCAAGGAGGGTTCATGATGTACTGCCTCTTCTTCGTCGTCGCTGTCCGCGTAGCGCGCGTGAAGCACTTCTGATGATGGGGCGTCGACCGCCATGTCGCTAAATGAGTTTATACACTGCGTAGCAGAAAAAGCGTCAAGCAGGGAAATATTTCGTGGCACACGGCATAGTTATAAGCCAGGCAGCGGCCCAGGGGAAGCGACTGCGAAGCCGCCCGGCGTATCTGAGAGTCGAAGCTAGGTGGTTAGAGCTGGCAGGCGGATCACAGGGTGGGCTTTATAGCTGTGATGACCTTTGTGTGCACCCTGCCCTCGTATAGATCGATCGGTGCTTCAAGCTGCCTCTTACTCACCGTGATGGCCAACGGTGTGCCCTTGGATGTTCAATTGTGAAAATCGCTCAGCATATAGTGCCAGCGTTTGCATGCTCAGCCGCTGCCCGTGCAGCAGCTCGCAACAACGGAAGCGCGCACAGCACTGGCTCATCAGGCTGGTGCATGCGCCGCACACGTGTGGCGCCATTGGCGGCTTGAGCAGCGCTAGCAGCAGGGCGGCATGGGCGCAAGTTCCTGTGCTGAAAAGCCGCTTCGAATCCTATCTTGGAACATAAACGGGCTCGCGGCCGCGTGCCGCCGAAAGCCGGGCGGGTTGGCGGGGGTGCTGGCTGGATTGGAGGGCGTGGATGTGGTCTGCCTCCAGGTGTGATTCACGGCAGGGACGCCAGCGCGACGATTGACCATGCGGTAGGGGATCGCGCCCCGGCGCACGTGCCACGTGAAAGCAGTCGCACGGCTCCCTACGGCGCTGCCGGTCGCGCGCTGCGGCGCGCTTCGAATTGTCTCTGGCGCTGTCAGCAACGGCAGCAGCCGCAAACAACACCGGCCTCGGGCCGCCGCCGCGGCGCTGTCCTGCCCCGACAGGAGACCAAGCTGCGGCCCTGCGAGCTGACAGCAGACCTCGGCCAAGCGCCCGGCTGGTGAGGAGCCGGCGAGCCGGGCATGGGGCATGCCCAGCTGCACCGCATGGTAGCACACCCGCCCCCCCCTCTTACTATTGTGAATCGAGCCCTGACTCAAACCGTCACTAGCACAGCCCGCAGGCCAATACGCACGCCGCTTTCAAGCACCACAACCGATACCCTTTGCCACCCCAGGCATGCCTTCTTTGCCTGTAACCGGGAAGACAAGGCCTACGCAGGTAAGCAGTGGGCGCATCCCATCGATAACACTGAGCCTGAAGCCCATGCACGCGTTCGCCGTGCACATCCACCGCGGTCGCCTGCCTGTTTATCCCCTCGTGCCCTCCTCCACCCGTCCCCAGGCGTCGCCACTGTCTGCCGCGCTGCCGCCACTGTCCCGCTGTCAGCCGAGGAGGGCTTCACGGGCCTGCTGGCCCTGACCCCAGCTGAGAGAGGTGCGGTCCCCCCTCCCCTTCCCCTCCTCTCGCGTCCTCATGCTGGGGCGGGACCCCCTGCATGTGCTCGCCGCCCCCACTCCCTGCCGCTCGCTCCAGCACCCCGCCTTGCCCCCTCGCCCCCGCTCCCCCCGCCCTACGCTTCGTGCAGACCCACGCGTTTCCCCTGGCCCTGCCCCCGGCTCCCTCTGGGCCGGCTACACCTGGGAGCAGCTGGACGCGATCGAGCGCGAGGGCCGCGTGCTGGTGACCGACCATGGCGCGTTCGTGCTCATAAACGTGTACGGCCCCAACGTGGGCGGCAAGGGGGGCGGGCTGGACGCGGAGGGACGGGTGGAGGAGCGGCGCGCGTACAAGGGAGAGTTTTACAAGGTGTGTGTGTGTGTGTGTGTGTGTGTGTGTGTGTGTGTGTGTGTGTGTGTGTTGGGGGGCCGCCGCGCGTGAGAGTGCGGTCTCAGGGGGTGAGTGGCGTCGTTCTTTGAGGGCGAGGGGTGGCGGAGGCGAGGGGAGGGAAGGGTGTGGTGTGGTGCCTGATGTTCGTCGAGGCCGCGTGGGGCGGCGGGGGCCGCGCGCGTGAGTCGGTCTCAGGGGTTGCCGGCGCGTTTTTCGAGTGTGGAGGGGCGGCGCAGGGGAGGGCGAGGTGGCTAGGTTTACCGAGGCGGGGCGGGGGCGGTCCGCGCTGGTGCTCCCCCGGGCGTCGGTTTTCCCTGCCGGCCGCTCTGACCCCCTCCACGCCGCGCGGCACCCCAGCCTCCACCACCCAACACGGGAACGCCGCGTGCC